AAAATAAAAATAAGAAAATAAAAAGAAAAGAAAATAAATTGAAAAATATCTTGGTTGCGAAATGTTATAATAGTGTTACTGACTTTATGAATGACAGAATTGTATAAAGGGAAATCGTGGTTTTGATATGAAATCGCTGACATTTGTTTGTTAAAATTTATTGTATCATAGATTGACTACGCAAACTTAACATCATACCTATATTTTTCTTTTATTATGTATTTTTGTAAAAACTAAAAAAAAAATCTTTTTTGCACGCCTTGAGGTAGAATATGGCTGCTCATTGTTGTACCTTTATTAACACCTTAATATGTATACCCATGTTCGCAAAATATATTATTTGATTTGATTTGATTAAACTCGAGGAGTCTACTAATGGAATTCCATTATCACCATCAACTCAAAATTCCAAAAGGTAGTAACATTCGCTACATACGAAGTTTAACTTTGATATAACAATTAGAAATAGGTTGAAGTGGGCTTAAAATCTATATTGTTAGTTACAAGTAAAGCTAGTAAAAGTAAAAACTCCAAAACGAATGCATAATCATCATAGGCAAGCATAGCATACGCTCCACAAGTACAAATTCAAAGGAAAGAAAGTAACAAACCATTGCGTCTTTGGATACGGAGACAGCCGACAATGTCGTTCCTGTCCTTTTACGACTTTACGTCAAACCAAGTTCCCGAACACAGTAATGGTTTGTTATGTTCGACAGCTGATTCGGTTAACATACTTTGATGTCCAGACTGGAAACATAGCGATAAATCATGACAGTTGTGAATAGAAAGACAATAGGCAGGCGGGAGGCGGCGCCGTCACACGAGCGTTAAAAATAACGCACAGTGCCACTGCTGCTTCCGCGTCACACACGGGAGCGTCTTCAAAAATGATCTAATCTAAGCATTCCTCTCATACGCCCACATCCATTACCGTTAGACAAAAAGAATTTATATTCGATTGATATGCACAACTTGACGAAAATAATTAAATGAATATCGAAACGGGACATTAAAATATAACAAATATTAAGGGAAAATGAGTAAGATAAGAGTGCATAACGACTACGGCTATAGGTGGCGATAATGAGACCCAGAAACCTCGATAACATCTAATTGTAAAACCAAACGAACGAAGATCTTCGACTATTGATATCAACTAACTGGCGAGTCAAACTGTTGCAATGTTTTAGCAAAAAACTAATTCAAATGTAAGGATGAATCGCGTGTCCAACACGATAAAAACTAAACGTTTAACATAAGCCCTTATCTATCTACAAACTCCAATCATGTAACTAAAAAGTTCTTCAAAAGATGACGTGTTGTCAATTGCCAATAGTCCGCTGTTTGATTGGCTAAACGTATCGACTAAAACAATCGCCTATACATGACTACAAATGTGTCTTCAAGTGTTATAAACGGCACCTGCGCTGTTTAGTCACAGGTAAAGTATTACAGTTACGAAACTATTGAGATTACATTGAGACGGGCTACAAGTCGCTATCGGTATATCTATTTGTGACAGGTGTTAGCTAGTATCTGGCGAGCGTTTGCGTAGTGGCACGCAACGAGAGCGTTATCAGTCGTCAATCAACACAAACGGTACAGAACCACGGGAAGTTGTTCATAAAAGTCGCTGTCCCACCCTATTCTGTATCTAGTTGCACGCACACTGTATGCGGGATCTATTTCTTTATAATATTTACAATGGACAATGCAGTGATAAAATTCCTCAGTCTTCTAACCAAGATATAGGGTGCTAATTGTTATTTAATGTGAATGATAATTAGCTGGGTCAAAGTATCGTGGTAATTGGTTGATAAGTTGTATCGAAAAATTTAGACTTGTGGAAAACTACTACGGAAATGATTACTATGTAATTAACCTTATTTTTAAGTTTGATATTGGTCATATCCAAGACTCGTTCTTTGAACACGTGGCGAGGGTAAGGAGGGAAGAGGGGACCCGACACATGTGTTACCTTACCCGCTCCGACATACTTCGTATTTCCGTTGTTAAAAAATGAAAAAAAAAACTCGTACGTTCTTTTGCTTTGTTCGTATAATCATATTTAGAAATTAGTAACATAATTTTTGATACGATTGTATTTATTTATTTTAAATATATTAACGTGTTTATGTGAATAAGTATCATTAATATCTAAGGTGATATCAGATCAAGGCGAAACTAATAAGAATACAGATGAAATCTGACCGAACTCAGTTGGCAGTGAGGTCACGTACGAGCAGGTGGCAAACACAATACAACTCTAAACATACTACAAGTTTAGAACGAGTACACTATATACTTATGTAGGTATACTTTGTAAACCAGCTTACACACGAACACGATACAACTTTTCTACGGATCAGATTCGCAATTGAATTGACTTATGACCAAATATACGCGTCCAAACGTATATAGTAAAATCGCCTATTTTCGTTTTCGTTATTATCCTGAACGGACGTCGAGAAGAAAGGAGGGTACATCAATATAAAAAATTACCACTTGCTTTTTTATTCCATCTTTTTTCTTTTCATTGCCTTTTACCTTTTAGTCCTTAATAACTGATATACGAGTTTATACTAACAGAGAAATACATCAAAACAATGTTGTGGTATATTTAATGATGCCATTGTATTGTATCTATCTGTTAATTTAAAAAGAGTGGCCGTGACTTTGTTTGCCCTTTCTTCTCATAAGGCTCAACCCCTTGGAAATGGACGGTTGTAGATCGGCACAGGTATATCATAGATTTTGAATACGTTTATATTTATTTTGCTGAATATTTGACAAAACAGAGATTAGATCTATGACTTTAAGAGTCTACATAAGAGAGCATTTCAATTTTATGAAAATGAAGATATTTTGACTTTTAGTTTAAAAATAATAATACCAGTTTATAGTTATAATATAAGTCATTCTATAATATAAGGCCTGAACTGACAGAGGTAAAAAGATACCACAACCGAATCAGCCAATTAGCGTCTACACAACAAAACCCAATTTGATTTGACATGATCAAGTCAGAAGTTAGGAACACATCGAATTGGACAATTTGTCTCCGCACAATTTGATTGAAAACCTTATCAAACTGTTCGTAAAATTGTATCGTGTGCAAATTGTTTAAGTGTCACGGTCCAAGGACATCCCTGACCCGTCACCGAGCCCGTCACCGAGGTCGTCAATTTGTCATATTGCAGAGGACTATAACAAATAGTTACTGAAATGAAATACCAGATAAAGGTAGGCTCTACTAGAAACGTTTTACAAGACGACAACGTAATGGATACTCAGTGGCAAGTTGACTAAAATATAATTATATGTGTGTATGTATGGGATGTGGCCTTAAACCGTGGGATCAAGTTTCGCTCGGCTTAGAAAACCAGAAAACAAAAGAAACCACCGAGCCGTTGTGTGTCGTATACTAGAATTGTTCTTGATAGAACTTAGTCAGGATTTTTTCGTCTGGATGTCAGTGTGTGACATCCCGTGGGTCGATTCCCATCCAAGGCCAATAATTGTAAGATGAGCACGATCATTAGTGCTTTTAAATCTCTGCCCAATGTGAGAACAGACGCAGCGGTGTATGAGGATGAGTTAAGACATTACTGATTTTTTAGAAAACAAATAATTTCAGGGAAATAATGTCAAAATTATCGTAATTTTTTAATTTACGTGTATTCAAATGTGATTTAAATTGACTTGGAAAAGCAAAAAGAAATAAAAAATTAGTTCCATTGCCCTGTAGATTTTCGCGATTTTAAAAAGCAGACTAAAAAATTCTTCGTCATACCCATACTGTTTAAAGAAGCCCTGAATTCAAACCAGCCATTGTCACGTTAATATGAAACGTTGAGTCTTAATTAAATTATGCCAACGTACTCGTAGAACTGTGTAAGAATATGACTAAGGATCATACAACAAAATGGTTTACAGATACCAACGGAATTTTTTGGCAAGACACCGTCTGTCACCGCCAGAGAGATAAGATAAATAAAAAGCGATATTGCATACCATGTTGGAATTAAAACAAATTATGCGAAGTCGATGGTTAGCCTATGGCTATAAATCACAAGACACTGGCCTTAGCGCACGTTAAAATTAGTCTAATTTCATCTTGGCAATAGTGAGACGATGTTTGCAGGGTGAATAGCAGCGCATGCGCTCCATACGCGACAGTTAAAGCACCCAATTCTTACTTCAAAGATGCAAGTGTTAAAAGAGCACCCAATCAAGTGCAGTACTTGTTCAGTACAGTCAAAACAGTGTAATTATAGTGAGGGTCGGTGCCGTACCCGTGACGACACAAATAGTTACGCACTGCAGACATTTGCACCTTTTTGTTCAATACGACAGATATAAATACCCAGAATGCGGTGCAGTGGAATTCTTTAACAACGAGCTAGTCCTAAACTATTAGCCTGCCGTACCGAAATTTTGAAAAAGCATGAACCATACCAGGGGGTTTTTAGATAAATGCACAAAGAAGTATCTGAGTTCTGATTACAGTGAAACCGTTAGCAAAGCATTTACGTGATGTAATTCGGCACAATTAGTTCATTATTTAATAATACAGATAGGTACATCTAGGTCGGTCTTGTCGAACCTTGACTCGACACGCGGAGTTATTATTGTTCTGTCACCGGCGGCGACTGCGGCGTACTGCGACTATACCGCGGTATTAACTAGCTACAGCACTCGACGTGCGCCTGCGACATGTCGCCTACCTACCTAACGTGTACCATCATTACCGTCACCACCACCGTTACCACGTATGTGTGTCCACTGGCGTCACATTCCCACGACGATCGATCGGTCGTCGGCTATTTCACTGGAGTGAGTTGACACTGAGCTCACACGAACACTATATGAACCGGCGCGGCGGTGGGTCACAGTGCAGGGCCGCAGGGCCAGCGCACCTCGCGCTGCCCGGGCGGCCGGTTGGCGCCGCGCCACCTAAAACGTATTTCTGCCCTGCGCTCGCGGTCACCACTCACCTTCAGGGTGCAGTCTCTGTGGGTCGAACCAGGCATCTGGAATAGAAGGCTGCGCGTTAGCGGGTTAGTCGCGACAGAGAGAGAGGAAAGCAGGCGAAGCAAAGCCGGCGCGGCGGGGGGGCCGGAGGGGGTGTGTCGACACTTACGTGGGTTGAGGACGCTGCAAAGGGAGGGTCCGGAGTCCGTCATGCTGGCGATTTACGTAACGCGGAGCGTGAAAAGGAAAAAAGGCGGCGGACGGATCGCGCGCCGCGCCGGACTCTCGCGTCGATACTGGCGGCGCAGCCCCGCGCTGGCCGCGCCCCCGCCCCCGCCCGCCGCAACCCCGCGGAGCCCTCCGCGCCGCACCGAGCGCGTTGGTCGCGCGCATGCGCTCCACCCGCCTCGGAGCGGTCCCGTCACCCCCAACGTGCTACATGACCAGTACCACCACCACCATATATCTTAAGTTACTACATTACATCGATTAGTCTGAGTGTTAGTTCCTCGTGCGGTTAGTACCAAAACACAATAATAATTAACAAAAGCTGTATGTATACAAACTGAATGATAAGGTATATCGGGACGCAGTACCTATCCGTGTTGTTTACTGGGACGCGGGAGGCAGGTCATCGTCGACGATACATGAAATAATGTCAAAGGCGAGCTGCACTGACCTGCAAAGTGCGTTCGCCTCATGTACTCTTTACTTATTAAAGAATTAATGTTTGACCCAGAGGACCTTTGAGCATGCTCCACTAACGCGCGTAAAGCGCCAAAGCGGGCAATTCATAGTTCGGCCCGTGTTTACATCTTTTCTAATTACTAAGTAACGTTTAGATGAGTCACTCTCTCAACTCTGTACTGTAAATTTACACATAGTACAACAATTGATATATTAACTCGATGGTAATAACGTAGGTTGTGACTAACACTGATCGCTAAAGAATTGACAACGCCAATAACACAACTTTTGTCAATTTGTAACTCTAAAAATGTTTACCTACCTACGTATTTCATATAGTATCACTATCTAGTCGTATTGCCTTCACGCATCGCAAGGCATGAAACAAAAACTGTCAGCCACAGTGGTAGACAGCAGAATTAAGTAAAGCCTTGTGTCGAATACAAATTACCTCATCGACAGAATTAAGTACACGGACGCCCAAAAGTTGCAGACTGTTTCACATTTTTGTTCAATATTAAATAAGCACTTTCCTGATTAAATTGAAATACATAAAACTGTACATAGTTAAAGATATTTAAATTGAACTGAATTTATTCTATACTAGCTGATACGACTTCGTTCGCAGAGAATTTGAAAAGCGCTGTCTTAGTGGTGTACTACTTTACGGGACAGCAGTCCATGAGCCCTCGGGTTCCATTCCCGGACCGGGCGAAATTTTATAGGGTTTTCCCTTATAAAGACGCTACGTGGCAGAAAAATATTATCAAAATCAGTCTAGCCGTTTTGAAGATTACTCGAACAAACATACAGACAAAGAATATTTAAACTGGTTTTTAGGTATAGGTATCGTGCAAACAACCGTGTGAGCATGAAAAAGCCTATTACTTTGACATAACAAACATACACTTCATTTTTATTTATTTCTATATCTAAAAATAATGAATTAATGTGTTCTGGAATACGGTGGCAAACTATATACCAAATATTTTTTTTCTGCTATCGTCAATAGCGACATCACGGTGCATGTTAGATTGCTCAACGGCAGATTTTGTAGGGCATATCCAATCAGTCCATTCATCATGTATATTAGGATCAGCTGAGTGCTCAGAAATTTACTCAGCAAACCAGCATACGGGAGGTACCTTTTTGCTCGAATGTTAAGTGCATCGACATACATCGCAGTGAAATAGTAATGGAGTAGCTTCTATACGGTTATAGATCCTTTTGAAAAAAAAGGAATCATTAAAATCGGTTCACCTTGTGAAAAGTTCTGAGGTAACAAACATAAAAAAAAAATACAGACGAATTGATAACCTCCTCCTTTTTTTTGAAGTCGGTTAAAAAAGTTGGACCGACTTCAAACAATACTAACAAAGACCAACTAAACGCACTCCTCCAATGAGACAGCGACGTTTCGTAAGTAAACAACAATATCTTAGATGTATACAATTTTTAGATTTTTGTTGATTTTTCAAAAACCGCTTGATCGATTTCAATAAAATTTAAATGGGACCACCTGGGAAGTATACCCTTTCAAACAATAAAATAGTTTTTCAAATCGGTTCAGGCGTCTTCGAGTAATCGGTAAACATACGTTAAAAAAAAGATTCCGACGAATTGAGAACCTCCTTTTTGGAAGTCGGTTTAAAAATAGTGCATAACAGTCCTGAATTTAGTATGACATAATATTCTGGAAGATAATATTCTTTACAATTTTCTGATTACTGTCAAATTGTTCAACCAAATATGAAAATGACATGGGGTAGTGAAACATGAAGTCATTATTCATAATTTCTTACAAACATTCTACAGAACGTACCGTTTTGCGTTTAATAAAGAGGCACTCATTTATATTGGCAGTCTATTCTCTAATGACTAAATGGATTTTTCAGTGTATTTCTACAATTATAGAATAGGTTAAGAAGTGAGAAAACTCTTAACACACGAACAAATTTTAAGTTTCGTTAAAAAAGTGTTACCGACAATTTTTAAAAGTTTATTTTTAATTTCATTATTTTATAAAATAATTTAAAATAAACTTTTATAGTTAAATTGTTATAGTCAGCAAAGTGTGGAAGTTTAATATACCTTTGTCAGGGAATTAAAGGCCTGAGTTATTTCTGTGTATGGTGTGAAAAATACCTAATTGTATGATAATTGGTAAATATTAAATTAAGTGTAACAGTAAAACTTAATGAATAGAGAATACTGTGCAACTCATAGACTTAAAGCTGAGACAGTTATCTTAAAGCAGACAAATCAATTGATTTTAGTTCATATGCCGCAGTTGAGTCGGGCTGTCGCGACCAGGGGCGAGACACGTTAATAGTTGGTGACTCACTGCAGCGTACACTGCCGTATAAAAAGGGATCTGATAGGACAGAATTACTCACTAATGAAAGAAGTATTTATTTCCATACATGTATTGATTGCAGGTACGTTCATGTGTCAGCATGTATTGGTAATCTTATTTCCTTCAATTAAACACCATTTCATATTATTCAGTATTTGTTCGGTTAGGCTACACGATGTGGCTGGAGCCTGTATGCCGTCTGTATGGACAGGCTGACTCAAAACTATGGTCCTTTCCTCAAAAGGCCTATCCAGACCCTATACTGTACTCGCACAGTTTTATTTAACTTTGTTTACGGACTTAAAAAAAAAGACACCTCTGTGGTTTGTTTCGGCGTTTCTTCCCAGAGTGAGTCTTAGGAAATGCCGGCTCCTTCTAGCTATAAAGTCCGACTTGTAAAAATTTCTGAAAAGATTTACTTACAGAAATAAATATCATTTATCATTTATTTATGATAAGTATCCAGCCCATGGACACCTGTAACTGAGAAGTCACGAGTTTGTGGCCGACCGGTGTGATGTCAAACGTCACAGGCGACAATTCGTTCCACACGAGGTTTCGAGGCAAAAAGTTGATTGTAAAGCGCAAAGTGATCAAGTGACAGTTATCGACTCGAGGTGAGACTGGAGACCAGTATGAGCCCGCACAATGCTTCAGAGCACTCCCACTTGTATTTTAAATATGTACTTGTGATAAAAAAGGAGAGCACAGCAGATTTTTGCTCGATTAGGAGTCGCTGGATTAGAAAGATAGTAAATGTAACGAGTGTGGGAAATTTAGATCTTAAAGAAGTCAATAAAACAGATTTACTACCATGTTTTACCTAAAAAACAGAAAAAGCGAGTACTCTAGAAGTATAGGCATTTCTTTGATCTTAAAGAAAGTTCCGTTTTACCATCAGGGATAAAAATTTGGGATTTATAATATATAGGGACAATAATATAGGAATAATAATTTATCTTGGGACTTTATTCTTAATAAACAGAAAAATACGAAATGGGGACGAACCAATAAGAAATGCTTATCATGTTAAGTTGCAGACATTATTGTGATTACAAATCATACGGATGAAAATAACGATATATTACGTAAAGGACTAAAATACATAATAATATAGCTAATAAACCACAATTGTCTCGTAGACAAACTGACACAACACAATAGGTACTCAAAGATCACCTGTGCGTGCAGAAAATTCACCGTAGCAAGTACTGCACAGTCAATAAAACATGTCGCGTGACATGGGACGCCCTGTCGCCGCTCGGGTAAAAATACCCACTCTGTGACGTCATCACTACCTGAGCACACAGTGGCTAGTACTACTGACTGACATCAACACAGTTCATACAACGAAAGTTGTACTCAAAGATGACATATCTGCTGTCAGAACTTTGTTACAATCAAACAAGAGACACGACCGTGGAAAGTGAAAATGGAAGCATTCGTCATTTAAACTTTAAGTTGGGGGAGGAATCAATTTGTTAAAGCTACACAAAGAATTAGAATTCCATGGCTTGACTACAGCTTCTATTCAAGATCTGTCAGTGATCATCGTCTGTCAGTCTGCAACTTCGGAAAAGTTAGAGTCACCGGGGTCACGTAAATTTGTTAATCTATAATTATATTACAAAACTGAAGAATTAGTTTGTTTCTTTGGTTGAACGCGGTAATCTCAAGAATTACTGGTTCTAATTGGAAAATTCTGCTAGAGTTGGATAGCTCATTTATCAAGGAAGGCTGGCATATAACATCACGCTATTAGTCATCGTCGCGAAAACTCAATGAAAAATGCACAAACGGGGAAACTTTATTTAAATGGTTGAAGATGAAACCTAGAAGTGTCATTTAATGTCTAATAGACCATTTCGTCAGTGCCAACTACTCTGTCGCCCTAATCTAATTAACCGCAAAAATTCACTTCGATCGAGGGTGGGAAATATATATATCCAGTAGACACGTATAATACGAGAGGTAATAAATGTCTAGAAGAGTGCAGGTAGCTTTACGGGTTAGCAACAAGACTGATCCATTTATATAAAGAGAGCAGACGGTGTGTCTGTGTGGCAGTCGTAACGAACAAGTATCGATCCGGCACACCCTTCGCCTCCCTCGCGACTGGTCGCGACCTACCACTCGCGAGCCAGCCCATGTTGCACGACGTCTGGGCTTTTCCACTAATTCACCGACGTGGTAAAGCAATCCAAACACGAACATGGTCATTAAGCAGGACATTATTATTTATGTAATTAACGTAAAAAAATGAAATGATGTCAAAGAAAATCAGGCTCTTATCGGTAAACAAGTTCATACACATTATGTGGAACGTCTAAAAATAGATGTGACACCTACGAGCCAGTGGAAACCTCCGCCGTGATTCACCTCTCGCCGCATGTACACGCAGCCTACTGCTACGTAATGCAAGTGAGCGAGTTAACTGCGGCCATAATTAATTACGCAATTAAGATGTTCATGATGTAATAACTTACGTGCAAGTGAAAGTTAGAAAAAAAAGATACAATAGTATTTCAGTTGTAATCAACGAATTGCCTAATCGCTTCAAAAAACCGCTGCCTACATAGACACAGATTTGAATTTCTGCGTCATTTTGACATACAAACAATGTAGGGGTGAATGCAAATGACGTCACCCTCGAAAAGAGCACAAACAAGGGTAACATTTTTATAAAAAGCCTAAATTAGGTCAACGAGTGCAACGAAGCTTCATGGAGGCAAACGTGGAAATGCTCGCACTTGACAGTTTTTTGGCATAGGAAACTGTCGTTGGTTTACCTTTTGAATTGCGACAGCACTAAACCTAGATTACTGACAGGCGATGAGAGAAATTTGGTTATTAGAGTTGAAAACTTCCAAATCACTTAAAACATGGATGTTCGCTATCGGCAAAGCAGATTAGATTAAAGTGCCGACATTGTTGACAACATAGCTGATGTTATTACTATAGATACAAAACTTTGCTACGTTCAAGATCTTCAAATCATGGACACGATTAGAATTAAGATTCTTGCTAGGTACTAGATACTTGCCAGCTTTGTGCTGATAGATTGACAATTAAGGACACTGATTGGTTTTTAAAGAACTGCTTGTGAGAAGTTGCAAAGTGGTCTTTACAGCTATTCGACATACATTATCTTAAATCGATAAAACAGGAATTAGCGTAGATCGTAACCTTATACCAATTTTATCTTGTTCGGAATACCAACAGCACAAATAACGTGAGGTATAATAAAATTTTAATAAAGTAACGACGAGATTCCAAGTGTGAAACAACAGTTCAAAAAAAAAGAACATTTAGAAAAAACTTAGTAAGATCAACACTTTGGGAGACAAAAAAAAAGAAAAACTTAGACTCAGAAAATGTCACGCTCCTAATATTGGGCTTAAAAAAAATTTACATGTGAATTTATGATCATATTTATACTCTGATTTTAATTTTCTCGAGAAGAATCGAGCAATCTAAATCTCCGTTAATGATTTTTAATGATGTAACAATATCGGCGACAGTAAATCTATTTGTTTAAGGCAGAAAATGATATCTCTTTCATCTTGTCATATATTTGTGATCAATACACTTACACTTATACTGCAAATATCTTTATTTAATATTGTTAAAATTTGAGTTTGATCTAATAATAAAACCTAAAGATTTGTTGGCTTTTTTCACGATTAAGTCAATATGTTTATCGTATATTAGTTTAGAGACCTGTATAACACCTAAATCCTTTATTAACGCGGATAAACAAGCAGCTCATTATTAATAGTGTACCTAAATTAAATGGGGTTCATTTTACGCGTAAACTGCAAAGCACTTGGATACATTAAGATCCAATTTGTTATGTTTACAATATTTTGCTAAATTATTTAGATCCATTTGCAGTCACTCATAATCAGAGGGGCTATTAATGGCCATAAATGTTTTTGTATCGTCTGCATAGGAAAGAAAACTAGCGGGATTAAAGCATGATCCAATGTCATTAATAAAAATAATAAAGAGCAATGGTCCTAATAAGGAACCCTGAGGAACACCAGAAGGGATCGGCATCCATGCAGACGTGAAGCCGGTAATTGCAACAGCCTGAGATGTATTTGTAATGTATGAGGAAAATGAATGATTTTAGTGACTGGTTTGGCGAATTGTACAGCAATATTGCAATAACAAAAACACCTATAGTTGAAATAAATACGTTCACTGTAAGGTTTATAAATAAAAATAACTATATCAGTACAAAGTTAAAAGGTCTCCACCTTTCCGTAAGGCTTCAAAAAGCTTTTCTACACCTGGTCCAAAATTGAATTCTATAATTAGATGTAGGATATCAAGTAGGTTTGTAGGGTTTTGCATGCGACACATGGGTGACATTTTGGGTGTAAACTTTACACTATGTAGGCTACTTAAAACGATAAGAGCCACAGTGCATTGCAAGAATTGAATGCATTGGAAGAAGTCCTTCATCTCTGCAGACATCACAACATTTACGACAACAACTATTAAGAACAAATACCGAAATACCACATTAACATTTTTCACGTTTACGCGTATTTAGATGGGGCGTCATAAACACGACCATGACCTTGAAAGTTACTAGGGCACGGCTAATGGGAACGGTAATAACGATTTTAGCTATGAAAGGTTCAGGTTAACAGTTCCAGCTGCCAGAGTCTTATAGTTACGAAACTGCTGTCCCTTACAAACGCCACATCAAGAGATTTTTACCAACAAGAGCTCAATTTCAAACTTTGCAAATTTAATTGTAGATGACGTTTCAATGCGATGTATCGATGTCGATATGCATTGTATCAACGCTGAGGTCGATTCGGACGAACCAATTATTTAAGACAAACAATGTATTAAATATCTATATATTTGTACAATAAACACTTGTACACATTTGTAATACATATAATATCGAAAGATATACATACAGAACAGTACGTAAAAACTGTGGAATGCTCCCAAAATTGTGTCGTTGATCTTGCTGGACAACTGCGCCAAAATTAACAGCGGAAGCGAAGCTGACGTAATTTTGAAAGCAAAATATTGAACGGAAGTTTCGTGAGAGTTTACGACTGGAATATGAGCTTTAACGTATCGAGCAAATGCTTAGAGCATCGATATCCTATCAGACTGTACCTATTGGAACAGCATGTTTCTTAAGAGACAAAATTAGGATTTGTCCAAAGCACTCACACAAACATGAGTACCGGTTATCGACTCTTACCACTGATTTCTTCATTTGCAGGTGCCATGTTTCACCACACAGAAAATCCACACAAGAGAGCAGTAAGTCCTTCAATTGAGTCTACAACGCTACGTGAATGTTTCCACAGGTGGTGGAGCGGAGCGCGACGTGAGCGTGGCGCCGGGTGCTGCGCTTGTGAGCGATGAAGCAATGCTGCTTCACGCGGCTAAAATTAGCGATGTGGCGTCGAATCTGCAAAACGCGTCACTACGACCGCTCCCTCTATACACCACAACCACTTTTTCCTACTGACATTTTCTGAGGAATTTGGAGAGCATCGGCTCCAGACTTACAAATGGATTTCAGTAGAGTTCTCGAACTACAAATATTATTCAGACGTAATACTTATTGGGAAATATTCTCATAAATTCCATATACCTACTCACAGTGCAGAAGACAAATAATCTTAAATTTTATGTAAAATTGGCTGTAATTATAGTTGTTCGATTTTTCTCTGATGGTAGTAAGAGATATCAAAGTAGGTTAACATCGTCATAGTGAAAACTGTTAACTTCCAAACAATTTGTGTGTTTTTAGATAAGATAAGATAACTTTTCTATAGGCGTAAATTTTTAGTGCAACCACAGTTCGTATTTCTGTGTTCGCAATGATAATATGATACAAAAAAAATCGATAAACGGCCTGTTACTAATGTCTGACGATGACTCAGTCGGTTCAAGGAAGTGCAAGTCGGCGTTACATTTCGACACGGAGTACTTATATGCGGTTTCAAGATTACCAGATGAGCCGCCAATATTTTTGCTTGGCAGTGAGATCATACCGCGCAAACAAACGCCATTAAGCAAGGTGGGGCAGAGGGCGACTCTTTCTATATTACGAAAAGGGTTCACGGCAAGCAGACACCACTTGTATAATAGATTGGTGCCCCCGGTTGGATCTAGACATCCTTACCGCGTGCAGTAAGAGGCGTGGGCTTCAGCGGGTGCCGTTAGCCCGTCGCTGCAGCGCGACGCTGCGGTCAACGCTCTTGCCGCTTCGCCACCTCTGCAGCCGACCTCCTCACGCCCGCCACCCCCGCACAACACCCTCGCCGTTGTTGCTTCATATTGGGTATCACTTCATTGTCTACATTGTGAGCTTTCCATAAACCTTCATCGTTATGAGTCATGTGCCGCGAGTCTGACAATGATTACATCACGGAAGGAATAGAACATGACGAAGTAGACGTCGGTGTATTGATTAAGAAACTGGAAATTTCTTAAATAGTTATGGTCAAACGAATGGTGCCTATAAGACTAGCTAAATAATTACAGGAGAATCCACTTGACATGGCACAATACGCAAGTGCAGATATTCGTTCGGGCGGCCATTGTTCACCTGCAGTCGTGATTCTTCACGGTCCGCGGCGCTGAACGCTCGCCTCAAAATGAAATCATTTTAGATACTATAAAAAACTTCATGGACAGACAGTCACTGCACGTGTTTGTTCAATTATTCTATTTGGAAACTCATTTAGATTTTGTTTTTGTGTTAAAACTACGCATAAAACCTTCGACTGGCACTGTAAGAAATAACAACTAATGCATCAAATTTCAGCATAAATTTTGAAAAACTTACCTAATCCCATTTGGCAGAAGATGACTTCGGCCTCGATGACATGCGCAGTCGGCCGCGAAGGTTCTGGCGGGCTCGCCTTCGGTGGCGGGCTCGGCTCTCTCTTCGCAGGCTCAGGCTTGGGGAGTTCAGGCTTAGGAGGCTCTGGTTTAGGAAGCTCCTGCTTAGGGGGCTCCGGCTTAGGGGGCTCTGGTTTAGGAAGCTCAGACTTAGGAGGCTCAGGCTGAGGTTCTGGTGTTGCAGCAGGTTGAGGTTTTTCTGGTAAAGGAATGTCTAGAGGTGTAGGTACTGGACTGGGTGCCTCAACTGGAGCGGGAGCGGAAGCAGGAGCTGGATCTAGAGGAGCTGGAGCTGGCGCTGGTGCGGGTGCCATCACAGGAGTGAGGTCTAGCAGTGGCTCTGGAGTACGAGGCGCCGGCTGGACGGGCCGGTGCATGGGTGACTCGCCAGCGGTATCCGCGTCCGACTCACTATCCGTGAACTTGTCGGCGATGTGGTCTGCTGAAGGAGCTCGCGGCGCATCCATTAGGAACTCTCTTTCCATATCGAGGAAGCTCCGCGTAGCAGCAGCCTGCTGCTTCTGCGGCGAGTCGCGCTTGGGGTCGCGTTCGAGGTGCTCGAAGTCATCGGTCGAGTCCTGGTCGCGCTTCATGTTAGGTTCAATCTGCGCTGCGTCAAGCGCTTTGTCGCCGCCCGCCAGGCCACCGAGGAGAACGTCGGTGTTATCCATGTCTCCTTGTGTAACAGATTAAAATAGAGAGGTCGAGAGTGATCGATTAGTTGTGAGAGGAGCGCGGTGCGAAGTTGCGAACGCGGAGGGCGGGTCCTGTCGTGCGTCCTCGCCGTATCGTACTGCGGTCTGAGCCGTGTGCCGGCCGGCGCTGCACGACGTCACTCAGCACGAGAAACGAACGGTATTACTCATCGTCGACCCCTCCGATGCAGCGGGGGCGGTGCCGTTCACCGGTAATAATATAGTATTCGATTAAATTCAAATATAACAAAACCGAGTAAAAGGAAAAAAGTCGCAAAAGACAATATACCAAGGCGATGTAAGATAACAGATGTGTCGACAGTAAATAAATTAACAATATCGCAGGGAAGAAATTGCGTAAAGTATTGACTTTCTGTTCCAGACCTTTTTTGAAGGCGCGCTTTGCAGTCTGTTTTACCGACCTATCGAGTAGAGAAAATGACTTTGACAGCAATAGAAAACGATCGGATCGACACTAGCGACTCTACCAGCTGTTGTTCTTTAGTGTTACCAGTGTTTTTAAAGAACATTCAACTTTTAAAGATAGTAGATAAGTACAAATTTTCAAAGTTAATGTCGGACATCAAAAAATGACATCATTTTAGTCTGCTGTATTTTTTAATTTGTGGGATTTGAAAAATAGAGAGTTTGACTCCCATATTTTACTTTTAAGACCATTTATCTTAAAAGTATAATATGAGGGTCAAACTAAACTAGTAAGAATTAAAAACACTTTGAATGAATATTAACATTTTTAACTTTGCCAATATAAAATCATATGACTACGCTTAGTGTTGCTACAAAAAAATTGGTACCCTTATATTATTTTTTGTGCTATGTGAATACAATTTTTAAATAGATTAGATTTTATTTAGTGCTGTGGTGATTTGTTTGAAATTGATTAATGGACAAAATCTGAAGGCACTATACACAATACTATTAATGTAACACACAAACTTTAGGAATAACAAAATAAATGATTAAAGAAACTAATTTTTAAACAAAACTTTAAAAATAACGTAATATAATTTTATAAAACTATTTGCGTCAATGCATATTATTTTCTCAACATGTGAGAATTTTTTGAAATAACAATGAACTTTTGATTAATTAAAGTTCACTGAATTTAAATGATTATTACTTAAGTATACTTAATATCTAGTATGAAGTAAAATATTTCCATATTAGGAGAATGGTTTTAAGAATTAATTTTGTTAAAGGAGGTCAATTTGAAAATTCGTCTTTCAGAACGAAATTCTGCACTGCGGGTTTGTCAAACAGTTATCTGTCACCTCCAGTTGTCACACTAAAGTCGATAAAGCAGTTTTGCTTTAATGCTGTTCAGCAAATTTGCGCTTCAGAAGCTTTTTTTAAATTAACACTATTATGGACTCATATTTTCTGACAGATTATTCAGCGTAATCAGCGCTGCACGATTGTGTGTTGTTTCTGATAAGTCAAAACCACACCGGACACAAGGATGGCGGCGGCAGTAGTTAATGGTTGTGTAGATACAAGTGTTGTAAATTCAATAAATAAAGAAGAATGTAATGGAAAAGAAAAAAAGTTACTAAATGGGAAAATAATTAATCACAAAAATGGTTACTTAAACTCCAAAAATACCAGTAATGGTGTCAATGTAAGTTAGTTTCTATATTTTTATAACCTAGCCGCTGAAGTCAGTGAGAATAGTTGATTTCACCAATGAATATCACTGGCACGCCCCTTGTGCAAATCATGTGGCGAGCGGATACACCATCTACGAGTGGCCGGTGCCCCATTGACCCAATACCGAAGCAACGGGAGTGCCCCGCCACATTCCCGATATTAATTCTAAGCATTGTAAATCAAGGTCGCTATAATACTCATTAATTGAAATTTCGCGCTTAATTCTAAGGTATTTGAATTGCTCAATCCAAAAATAATTCTTATTAAAAAGATAAAAATTTTCGTAACACAAAATTATTATAATTAAAGATTAATCCTCTATCCACTGATAAAAAACTTGTGCTACAAAATTAATAATTTTGCCTGGAATTTTGACTCAATATGTTACTCTGTAAACACCTGCAAAAATGTTTTAAAACATAGTTCAGTAAGGAAAATTTTAAATATGAGATTTGACCCATAATAATACTGCATACCAACAAAACTAATACACATATTATTGAACATAATTTCCTCTTGGGATGAGATACTGAAATTAACTAGTACCTTGTTAACTTATGTAGGGTAGTATTACATCATAAAAACCCCCAATAGCTCTTATTGGGGGGGGGGCTACCTAATGGTAGGCTTCAAAGTCAAAATGCTTGAACATAAATCAAATTTGAATCAAAATCTTATTCAAAAATGTAATATCACAAAATTAGTTACCAATTTGAAATTGCATGTTGTCTCTTTAAAGTATTTTAAATATAATACATTTAAAGTGACTCCAAGAACATGTTTGTCAAATGTGTGTCAAATTAATACAAATAATTTCCAAAACAGATAATAGGTACTGGTACAGGTTTAATCTGCAGGTTTTTAAAATTTTGAGCCTTTTGAAGTCTAGCAAAAACAAAAAACTAACACTTGAATTTTCCTTTTGTATATTTATAAACAGGTCTCTAATAAAATTTTAATATTTATTACATACTTATAAACTAACTTTACAAAAATATATTGAAGGCGCAGGCATAAGAACTAGCAAAACTACACAAAGGAAAAAAATAATTAACCCTTCCTTCCGGTCACACTTGCTGCATTGCCATGTTGAATGGCTATGGCCAACCTTTGAATGAACCGGAGCAGAAGTCACCATTGACTTCTGTGAGTTTTCAACCTAGCTCCTTAATTAATCTCCTAGTGTCAGCACCCCAGCTGACAATGGTCTCCACCGCTACAGGGACAAAGTGGTAATACTCTTCCAAAGCTGCATACTTTTGTTTCTTTTTGTCAACAAACGAGCATCTTCCATGGCTTCTGACGAGGAGTGAACGGTGCGATTTAGATGGCTAGTGGAAACATTGCTAACAGAAGTGGCACCACAGATCGGGCACTGCCTTACAAATTAATTTGAAATTGTTATGTTGTGGAATTTCATCATCATCATTGTGGAATTTAACAAGCTATAAAAGTATTTAATGTGAATGATAGCATTTCTTTATAATTGAAACAATTTTAACCAAGTGCCTTATCACCATCTTGAATTCCATGAATTGAGTTGTACAGGAATGTTACTACATTGCAAATATTTACAGTACACTACATTTTACATATATTTGTCTCAGCTATTTTTTATGATAAAACTTACCATTTGAAAACTGTGCTTGTTTTTATGTTTAGTAACTTTTTTAGAGATGTGGGGTTTATGGGGACAATTCCCAACATATGTTCCAAGTTTCATCATTATAATTTTTTTTGTATTACTCACTATTTTGTGTGAACCTGACCGGATTAAGAGTTATGACATGATAAAATTATCATTGTTTATTCATGGACATATTAATAAATTCTAACTTGAGATGATCAAATCGACCATTTCGCATTTACATCGAAAACATTAGTGTACATACACTATATACCTACACTCGTCTCCAGATCCTAGCTACAGCTTCTTAGCTGTAATCATCCAGAAACATTAATATATTCATGATGTGTACATGTTGTATGTGACATTACAGTATTGCGCACATTGTATTGTTGTTAGGAGGTATTTTATGATTACTGTAATTACAATCGTACGAGCCGTTATCAATAAACCCCACTTTGGACGAGCGATAATACATAAAGGTGAGTCACAGTTAGGGAAATGCCGTTTCCTCTGCTCCATATCGAATCATTCAATTATTTCTAATTCATATGAAAGGTCTCGTTCGAAGACTCGAGACAGTAAGTCGATATAGGAATCGTGGGAGAGCCATGCGTGATACCACGGCCTCAAATAAAATCGCCTGCCTCCTGTACTATGAGAATTGGAGCAAAAAAAGTTGATGATTTGGTCGCTTCTAATTATGCCCACTTACAAGGCAAATCACTTATATTTACCAAACGGCTTTAAATAAATGAGATGACGTTTTGGTCTTCAACTAAAGATAGGTATAACCTATCGTGGAAGAGCCATGCTTCGGCCCGAATGGGCTGGCTCGACCGGAGTGATACCACGGCCTCACAGAAAACAGGTGTTAACCAATTCTTTCGTTGCATTTCACTGAGTGAGTGAGGTTACCGGAGCCTAAATCCCCCCTCCCGCTGACTCGAGCGGGAGCGGACTCCAAGGGCAGCAACGCCCTTGTGACTTTTGAGTTGCAGGTGTCCATGGGCGGCGGTAGTTGCTTACCATCAGGTGACCCGTCTGCTCGTTTGCCCCCTTATACCATAAAAAAAGGTATGTCGTGTTATTGAATATAAATATTTTGCCGCAGCCTGACGTCCCATAGTTTTATTACTATTGGCAAGAACGATTCATGTTTATTACCATTGCGTTATTTACCTTTTATAAACGTGTTACATTTCAGTAACAGCATTTTAATAGTAAACGAACACATCGATTTTACAATGTACTTACGAAACAATACAAATCTACTTCAAAAGCCTATAAAGCAAACATACAATATATAAAGTACATCGCAATACTAGTGATTTGCAGCTGGAATTGCACCGTGATAAATGCAATTTCTTAACTTGCTCGAAACCTAAACTGCTGCGAAGTACATATTTTAGTATATATTGGTAAATAGGCCCTTATGTTTCGAGTACAAAGTAATATCGGATTTCCTTACGAAGTACTGAGTTCGGAGTACTGTACGAGCGATTTAGCCGTTATTTTTACACTTGTGATAATCTTGGGTTGTCTTCTCCACTTCTGAGAAAGTTCCTCCATCCTATGACTGTAAATTGGTAAAAATTGCTTAAGGAAAATTGAACATATTTCTAATGGTAACCAGGACCGCCAGAACTTCGTTAGCAACGGGCATCAGTACTTGTTTATCTATAACCGTTGGCTGCTGTCGAGCGGGGCTTTTATTTATTTATTTTCATTAACACATATTTTGCCATATTTATTTAAATTACTTTTTGTGCAGTATTATCTAATATAATGTTACATACGAACATTTGTGGCAATCGTTACGGGTAGTTGTAGCCCTCCGACAACAGTCTATTTTCAGAACTTCGATATCACAGGGTGATATCGACGTTGTGAACTACTTGGATTGTGAAGGTCTGATGACACTCACACGACATAAAAAATTGAAGTTCAGCCGTGTCATGGTAGACTATAAACCGACTCCAACCTAGTTTGAGCAAAGGCTCAGAAGATGATGAGGATGATAACGTTGTGTTAGGAGTAGATTTATGTACGTTTCAAATAATCCCTAAGTTTGTCTGCATTTAGCTACTTAGATTTAACTTTCTTGCCCTATTTGTATTCTACATCAGCAACCAAGACACCATTTCTTAGTTCAATGCAACCTCAAACTAGGTGTGCAAGATAATGAAATGTTTATTTAAACTGTTAGACACAAATTAATTGTCTTTTGAGTCAATGATTTTCTGTTTGTAATTCTAAACGTCAAATCGAGTCTCTCCTTACCATAGGTCTGCTAATGACCACGCTCGCAGTAGTAGTAGTGCAAGTATTTTGGGTTTTAGGAAGTCTGAGGACGTTTGGTCTATAGCATGGACCTCATTCGCATATTGCAATCGAACTGTGTATTATTATAGCTAATTCGTATTCGACAAAAATTTGGTTTTTAAAAAACGTTTGCTAAGAATTCAGAGTTTTCTCTTTATTAACTATTACTTAAATTGGTAGTGGTGGATTGCATTCTACAAAGACATAACTGACTAATTCTAGGCTAATGATGTTCATGAATATTTTCAGAAATCAAGGCTCGATGAAGAGGGCCCCAGAATTATACCGAAGATGGATTGGTCAGAGTACGACACAATGCGCGGTTCGTTCGAGAAATGCTCGCTGCTGACGGCGGTGCTCACAAACTTGGGACTGTATATACTCATGTTCCTGGGGTTCGTGAATCAGATACTCTTCAAGCCTAACGTCGCCACTGAGAAAAACAGAGAGGTCAGTTGATTGATTGTAATGTTTATTCATTTCATTTGTATCAGGATCGTGAGCTCAAAAACATAGTTGCCACATCTAAATGATTCGGCAGTCACACTTACTGTAAGACTATCGCGTTCCATAATAATATAATTATGCAATACGGGAATTACGCGCTCACGATAGGTATTAAGTACATACCTGACCTTTCGACTACCAAATTAATAATTTCGAAGATATGCGGGTGGATGAAGAAACTTCCACCTCACGGACTCGACGGCGGAGGGCGCAACAACTTACAGTGCAACCTGGTCAAAATGTCAGGCAATTCAAATACATCTCGTGAACGCGTTAACTCCCGTAATATTAGGTCTTTACCACCAGACCTTGCACCTACCGACTATTACTTTTTCCAAAATTTAGACAACTTTTTAGTGGGTAAAAAATTCAATGCCCGAGAGGCAGTACAAAATGCCTTTGAAGAGTTTGTTGCCTCCCGTCCAGCTGATTTTTACAAGAAAGGCATCAATAAACTGCCAATGCGTTGGCAAAGATGCGTCGATTGCATGGGTGATTACTTCAAATAACAGAAATAAAAAAATTTGAAAAAATAAGTACTTTCACTTATTGCATACAAAACGGCAATTTCATAGGTAAAGACCTATTATAAAATTATTATATTCGGCAATCAATAATTTAATGTATTACTTTCAAAGTTTGACTCGTAAGCTAGATACAGCAAACCGGCGTTAAGTACATGTAGCAAACATCTTCTCAAGCTAAAACCAAGTAAGAAGAAAGCCAATAACAAAACTTTTGCCAACAGGATTGTCCCCCATTACATCATCGTCAGTTGAATTAAAATGGTAGTCAGTCAAATGTAGGCGTCTTAATAATCTTGTGCTTACTGATATAGAATGGAGTGTATGTATCTTTCTGTTGATAAATTAGATTAATGTTCTTTTAAAGTATGCTTCTAGCAGAACACTGACACAAAAAATATTCTGTTACCTCAAAAGGTAAAAAAGAAACCCCTTAGCTCATTTTCTCAGGCACGGGTAGACCTAGCAAGTTGAAATTTATACCAGATACTCAAATCTCTGGTCCCTATTATGTGTATAAAAATCAAGGTCCTGAGTCAACACGATAAAAAGATATAGGCTAATTTCGATTTTCGCGAAAACTTGTAAGTACCAAAATCTACTTGTAAGTTTTAACTTTTGTTATTTTTCAGAACTTTCTCTTTACTTGTTCTGTAAGACCTTGCTTTTAACCAAAATTGTCAATTCTAGGTCAACCGGAATAGGTTTTGGGTCGGAAACCTATATGGTAGTTTCCGTTGACCTAGAATCACGAAATTTGGCAAAAAGAAACGTCTTATAGCACAGTTGAAAATTAAGATAAATTTTGGTACTTACAAATTTTCGCGAAAATGTACGTAAAATCTGGGTAGGTACGGAACCCTCGGCGCACGGGTTCGACTCGTACCTGACCGGTTTTTTTTATTTGTCAGTGCAGCGACGACATTGGTTGTTGAATTTTAAATAATGATGAACGAGTTGTACATTTATGTGAATATAGAACAGTAACCCTGAACATGTAAACGACCTGCGTGATTAAATGAGAGAGTAATCACTTTTATATTGTCTCCATATAAAATTATAATAAATTTCCAGTGTAGAACATTTTAATGCGTTATTTCTACGTATATTTAAGTATTGAACATGACCTTATGGAGGGTTCTAGAACTTTCTCCAAAATTTCTTATCGAAATGGGGAATGTTCTTTTTTTTCTTTGAAAATTCCCTCGGATACCACCCACCGGTGGCAATGTCGGACTCGAACCGACTAAAAAACCGCACGCCGTCTCGGGTACCAGTAGCCAGGGAACCAGGTGTACTCTAGAAAGGAAATTCCTGGTACCCCGACGTACCTCGGGCCATCTACGGCGGGTAGATGACCCCCTCCTGTGTGGGAACCCCCATGTTCTCTTTATGCTCCCGAAAGGGCTCGCGCGCTCGAAAGTAACGTTGTAGTTGTCTATTATCAGAATTAAAAATACATTTAAGAAAATTATTAAATTACTATATGAAATACTTTGTCTCATAAAATAATCTAGGTCCTTTGAGTTGCAGAGATTCAAGTTTACTCTACAAATAATCTATGGGATGTAAAAGAAATTACATCACACCCTACATTTGTTACAATATTTTCCATTTACCTCGTTGGTCATTGTTAGGTATGTGGGTTTTCGGGTGAAATTTCCTGTCAGTCTTAATAAATAAATAAATAATATGGTACCACATTCACACAACGCCATCTAGTCCCAAACTAAGCAGAGCTCGTACTATGGGTACTAGACAACTGATATAAATACATATATACTTTTTTTTTGTAAATACATACTTATTATACATAGAAACACCCAGTCTAAATCAAACATTAAATGTTCATGCACACAAATATTTGACTTGAGCGGGAATCGAACCCGCGACCTTTGGAATAGCAGTCCGTTACACAAACCACTACGCCATTCGGTCGTCAATACGTATAGACATCTAAAACAAGCGATCTGCTTACAATATATACATGACATTAATGAAATACAGAAAACCTAGAATTGTATAACTGTCCTGAGCTAGTTTATTGGACATACACCAAATAATAAATAGTAGACTTGCAACGAATAGTATATTCGGCAGTATACCGAATACCGAATATTCGGCGAGGCCCCTGACCGAATAGCCGAATATTAGGCAAAAGTATTCGGCTGGATTCTAGCGCCAAAAACTTGTACGGACGTGAATTAAATTATGTACCTGTTTTATGTACCAATGACTACTTAATAAATGATTATAAAAGAAATGAGAACCTTACCCTTCTAAATTTTGATTACCACAATAATTCAAATACATAGAATCCTCCATTTTTCCAATTCAGAAGATGATTATGATGTACCTGTGTTAGGCACCAATGACTACTTAAATGATTATAACAGAAATGAAAATATGAATATATACGTAATCAATCGATTTTAATTTTTTATTTTACCAATTATTTCTCAATGACAAAATATATTATTTAAGTATTCGGTATTCGGCCGAATAATATGTAGATATTCGGTATTCGGCCGAATATAATAAAAGCAGCCGAATAGGCCGAATACCGAATAGTAACCGAATATTCGTTGCAAGTCTAATAAATAGATATGTTTATATTTAAGTGTCGACTGCGTTTAAATTAAGTGTGCCGTGAAATACTTATTTAAATTTATTCACAATTAAAATTAGCTTACAATAACCTGTTTGGTTAATATACAAGATATGTGTAGTTGCTTCACGTAATTTAGTTATATGAACCTGTTTTCAGCACCTATGTATATCGAACTTAACGATTTACTATTCACTGTTATGTGTAACATCCTTAGGTGTTATCTGATGAAGACAAAAAAAGGCACGCGTATTACCTACTTACTTCATCATCATCAATCATCAACAGCCTTTAATAGTCCACTGCTGGACATAGGCCTCTCCTTAGAAAGGAGGTTTTGGCCTACTATACCACGCTGGCCAGATGGGTTGGTATAGGGTGTGGGGTGCTGGGCTAGAAAACCTCCTCGTGGTGCACCCTGGAAACGCTGGCGATGGTACTGTTCCCTCCTTGTCCTCTTGGAGGAGAGGATTATCGCCAGCGGCCAATATTCTAGCAGAAGAGGCAGCCGTTCATCGGCTCTCGGGCAAGGCCTGGTCCAGCAGGGTGGGCGTGTCTGCCGGTTGCCCTGCTGGCTCTTCGCTCTTCGGAGCATGGAGGAGGAAACCTCGGTAAAAAACCTGATGGCGGGGCCCTGTAGGGGCCACAGTTTCTCCGCTGACAGCGGTGGAGAAAGGAGGACGGGCTCGGCGTGTACTCACACTACCACCGAGCAGGCAGGGGGACGTAGTCTCCCTGTCAACCGTCGGCATATCGTAATCCCGAGAAGAGCGCTGTGGTTAAGTCTCGCGGCTCTGATCGGGGGCGAGGGTCTTGGCTTAACCGCCCGGACCGCGAGGAAGATAACCTCTCTAAAAAATTCCCCGAATCCCGTGTTCTGGTGCGTGGCCAGGGGATGCATGGCTGATGGGAAGTTCAGTCGCGAGCGCACTCCAAGCCGAGGTACCTGCGGACCCCTCGGTTGGGTTAAAAACTTACGCTTGCCCGGGTAATGGGGGATCTCTGCCCGGGTGGACCTTTAGTTCTCCCCCACTCGTGGGATTATTATGGAAAATATTAATTTAACTAAAAAGAAAACGATCGGAAAGAAAAACACACAACAGACAAAGGCAAGCCTAACGGACAATGAGACGAAGAGGAGGAATAGTGGAGTGGATGGGTCATCCACGGAGGGTGAGATAGCGTCGGGAACGCCTATCTCGATGGGGCTCCCAGAAGTCAGTCTGACGCTGGTCTCTGGGAGCCGAAGAGCATCGGATCGTATTCGTTCCGGATCCGCCGTCTCCTCGGATGGCGCGGAGGCCATGGAGGCGGAGCGAAGCGACAGCCGAAAACGCGGACGCTCAGGGGACGTGGAAACCGACACGTCCGGCGAAATGATGCCACCAAAGGTGGCAAGCAGTCGCCGAGGGAGGGCGCGTAAACCGGCCTCGGTCTCGACCCCGTCAGGCTCCGCGTTCTCAAACGCGGAGTCCTACAGGAGCGTGCGAGTGGACGGCGAGGCCGTAGCGGAGGAGGAGATCGCGGATCTCCTGCTCAAGGTTCGGGAGCCGGTGGGGGGAAATGCCCCCCAGGCTCCCGTGTCCGTGCAGGAGAGGGCGAAAGCGGCGGTGGCCGTCATCGACAAGGTGGCCACCAAATCCGTGAACCTTAAGGGCTCGTTTGTGAGGGCCCTTAAGGACTCCTCCTCCGCTTTGTCGGAGGTCGTGGAGGGCCTAGCGGGCGACGTCTCTCGCCTGCAGGTGGCCAACGAGAGGCTGACGGAGCGGGTGAACGAGCTGAGTGCTCAGTTCGCCCGCTTCCAGGCGAAC